CTCCTCTTCTTTTCCCTCTCCATGCTCTCTTCTTTCCAAGCATGCAGAGGAGAGAACTAGAATTAAAGTGGACAGATAGAGATAGGAGTCTGAGGCTCTATGACACGCTGACATTTTGAGTGGGGTGAGGAGTCTCTGCTCCTACTTAGAGTCCCATCGGTCTGGTCTGCTGGCATGCTGGGATGTAACAAAACAAGGAAATGAACTCACACATTCACATTCACTCCTGTGACAGCCCTGCCAGGGTAGAATAGGGGAAGGGGAGTTGCAAAAGTTGAACCACCATGGTGGGTCATTTGTCCAAATTCCCTTGGTAGAAATCTGCTGGGAACAGAAGCCTGTGGGGGCCATGGGAACGACTGGGTCCACCCTAAACCAGGATGTGTGCACACTAACCCAGCTTCCCACTTGAGGCTACTGTGACCCTTCCTAGTCAATTCCCTTCATTTGTAGGGCCCCCTCTGGTCTGGGGGCTCTCTGCCCAACTCTCAGCAGGCAGAGAGGATGTGCCTGTCACATGACCTCCTTTGATCTTTGAAGATGCTTCAGGAAAACACCTGGAGATTGTTGGCTCAGCAGGCCCAGACCTCATGTTTCTCTTCCCTGGGGACCAAGTAGGGCTGGATGCCCATCCTTTGTGCACACAACCACCCTCAGAGGAGGGACCCATCCATGCTTCTTCCCATCTGAGCTTTCTGCATCCTGCTGGTGGTGTACACACTGTGCTAAATAGTGGGTTCCTGTCAGATGAAGCAAGTCCTGACTCTTCTTCCTGGTTTGGTGGAATGGTGACTGATCCAGGATTTCCTCCATCACCAAGGGTGCCCCTTCTCTCATACCACATCATCAGGAACTCAGCACTTTCTGCCATTCTCCCCCCCACCCCCTGGCTCTCGTGGGTTGGTTGGTTGGATGTGGCAGTGGTGCCACCTGCTGAGGGATGTGAGGTGCTCAGGGCAGCCTTTTTGTCATCCTGCTTCCCATTTTCCTCTTTTCTTCATCCACCTCCAAATCCTTCCCGGTCCCTATTTAGCACTAGGATGCCACTCTTGTCCTATTTCTGTCTCCAGTGCATGCTCTTCCTCAGACTTCATGCCTTCAGAACTTCCCCTGGGAACTCTCCTGCTGCTCCAGGGTTCCAAGAACTATCACTTCACATACAGGATTGACAACTTCAACCACCTGTTTTTGTGTGTGCTGATACCAGGGTTTAAACTGAAGGCCCCATGCTTTTACTCAGCATTCATGCTCACAGTTGACACTCTTATCATTTGAGCCATACCTCAACTACAGCCTTTTGCTGGATAACTGGAAATGGTGCCTTTCTATCCAGGCCGGTTTTGAACCTAGATACTCCAGAGGCTCTCAGCTTCCTGAGTAAGTACAATTATAGGCATGAGCCACTGGTGCCCAGCTTCAACCACCTTTCCATTCCATCTAGGCTCTTCCACCCCACCAGCTCCTTAGGCTCTAATAGAAACCTTGCACCACCTTTCTCCACCTCTGGTTTTCCAACTTTACTTTGCAGTCACCAACAGCCATAACTTTTTCCCAGCTCCTGACTTATCCCTTTGCCCACACTCACTTGTATATAGAGTAACTTTTTTCTGTGCCTCCATTATGCATCCATTCATACCACCAGTAAAATGTCTGTACTTCTTTCTGAATATAGCTCCTCCATTTGGTCTCACTGTTTCATTCTGCACTCCAGCATTGTTTCAGACATTCTCCTGGTTTTAGTGAATCCAGTGATACTTCTTGACTGTATCTTTACCATCAACATCTAGCAAGCTAAGCCTCCACAAAAACATCTTTTCAGACCCTCTACTAGCTATTTCCTCCTTTGTCTGAACTTCTATGATTCAAAAGTCCGCAATCAACTTTCCTTTCATTCCATCTTGAATCCACACATCTGTTCAGCCATTGCTCAACTGAAGCTGCTCTTCTCAAGGCTATGAGTGATTTCTGTATTCTATAGTCTATTCCAAGTCCTCATCTTACTTGACTGATGAGCAACTTTTCCTTCTGTTGATCATTTTCTCCTTGAAATATTTTCCTCTTTTTGTTTCAAGGATACAACACTCTCTGGCTTCCTACTACCTCACTGGCTGTATTGCTTACCAGTTTCCTCTCTGCTCACTGCTTCTTCCCTTTCTCAAAAAATAAAGTCCTAGAGGAGCCAGGCCCTGAATCTTTCCTTCACTTATACTGTTCCCTTGGTGGCCATATATAGTCTCATGGTTGTCTATCATCTATCTTATCTATTTATCTACTATTATACCTGTCTATCTGTGTGTAACCTGGGATCTTTCTTAACTCCAGGCTCATATGCCCAAGTTGTCTAATCAGTGTATATACCTGGAGGTACAATCTTCATCTCAGACTGTACAGAAGTGAGCTCCCAATTTCCTAGCCTTTACCACCACCAGATAATACATATACAAACTACTTTGATGTCAAGATTTCCCACATCAATTAACGACAACTCTCATTTTTCAGAACCCTGGTTTCATCCTTGACTAATTGTCCATGTTCAATCTATCAGGAATCCAGCTTCTATAGATGCCTATTATCTTTTCCTACTATTACTACAGTGCTCTTGTAACTTATTTCTCAGTTTCTATCCAACAGTATCCCCAACAGTCTATCATTAGCCCCAGAGCCTAAGTGATCTTTTTAAAACATAGGTCAGAACTGATTATGTGCTCCCAATTTCTTTTTCTTTTTTTTTTTTGGTCTGGTTGTGGGGCCTGAACTCTGGGCCTAGGCACTGTCCCTCAGCTTTTCAGCTCAAGGTTACCACTCTACCACTTGAGCCACAGCGCCACTTCCGGCTTTTTTTCTTTTTGCTTATGTGGTGCTGGGGAATCGAACCGAGGGCCTCATGCATGCGAGGCAAGCGCTCTGCCACTGAGCCACCTTCCCAGCCCTCCCAATTTCTTTAGAATATGAACCAACACATTTGCATTGGTTTTCAAGCCTCATACCTATCTGGCTCCTTATTGTTCGGATGTCATCCCTTGATTCCTCTGCTTTAGGTTTCCAGTCTCCTGTGACGTGAGGCATGCTGCAGCTTCCAAGTATCTTCAGTAGCTATAATTTCTGACTGGAATGCTCTCTTCCTCGTTTATCTATGTGGTTTGCTATCTCGTTTCCCTCTAGTCCTTGCTAACATATTAATTTCTTAGTGAGAATTGCCCTGAGCTCCTATTAAAGCTATACCCTGTTCACATCTTCCCTAAACTTCTTACCAATTCTTTGCCTGTATCGGCTCGCTTTTAACCCATTATATTTTGACTTCTTCTTTTTCTTCCCCCAGCACTCTCTCAATGTGAGATTCCTCTTTTTGTTCATGGCTGTATTGTAAGTGCCTATATAAATGCCTGGCATTTAGTGTTTTACATATTTGTTGAAAGAATCAAAGAATAGGTAACTGCCATTCATCCTCCAGCCTGTCAAGCCTCAAACATTTTAGACTTTATCAACTATGCAAGGATTTCTCAGTGAGTCATCAACCTCTGATACATGTACCTATGCTCGAGATGTACTCTTAGCCTGAGTTGGGCCTCTTGACACCTGACCTCCTGCCTGGTTAACTCTATTTATTCTTTGAAACTCAGCTTACAATCACCTCTTCTAGGAAATTTTCCCAAGCCTCCAACTAGATTAAATGCCACCCCCAATGTATTTTCACTTATTTCCTCTAACTAGCTCTTGTCATATTGCTTCTAATAACAGTTGTATGACTACCCCAGAGTCCATGAACTCTACAAAAGGCTTGTGTATTGGTTGGTGTGGTCTCCCAGCGACTGGCATAATACCTGAAACAATAAATATTTGCATCCTTGAATAACTAAGTACAAGACTCAGCTCAAAGTCATTTTCCTTTGTGAACTTTTTGACAACCTCCTTATCAACGGATCTAGGAGGCTTTTATTCCATACAGGCAAAGGGCAACAGAATAACAACAGATCCACAAAAGGCTCCCAGGTAAATTAGCCTTAAGAATCTCCCTAGCTTAGGGGAGGGAGACTGGGACAGGAACATGAAGAACTTAAATTTATTGCTATAATTGCTCTTTTATTAATAAAGCAAGGCAAGAAAATGTTTCTCTTTAAAAAATAAAGAATATAACTAGTTAAGACCCATGGAATGGCTCAAATGGTAAAGCACTTGCCTAGCAAGTACAAATCCCTAAATTCAATCCCCAGTAATGCCTCTCCTCCAAAAAACTTCTGACATTAACAGGGAAATGATAGGTGTATTCTGTCATTTGTTTTCACATTTATCATTTCTGTGTGCTTTCAGTAAACATGAAAACACCTCCTTGAGTTGGTAAGAACCCAGGCATACCATGTGGAACCATGGCAGAATTCAAGCCGGCCTTATTTCAATGCACCTTAAACAAGGTCCTTTGTCTTTTGCCTAAGTGCTTTATACACATTTCATGCTGGGGCTAGGAAAAGCTAACCCGTCGGAAATTAAATATAGATTTAAGCTCCTATATCCCATGGGAAGTATTTTATACATCCCTTTTCACATATAGCATTGAAAACAAGGAGACACAAACAGGTGGCTATTAGCTTTAGGCACAGAGTGTATTTGGAGAATACCACACGTCAGCTACATGTTGATGGAAATTAACATTGACAGCTTGTCAATGGTTTGGAAATTTACACACTCCTTTTGCTTGGAATGGATATTCTCTTTTTATAAACCAGTACCTTCTGCTGAGGTGAGAATTGGGACCTAGGATAGATTTTTTTTCTGGCATAAGTTAATTTTTGGGAGCAGTTGTTTGAGTTAAAGATTCAACCTTAGGATTGGTTGAACTGTAGCAAAAGTTGTTGGAGCTGATGGTGGGAGTACTTTGGGCATCATAGAAGATCAAGCTTTTCTTCTCAGTAGGGAGAGAAAGAACCTTAGGGTTCTTTGGTCTCTTCTCCAAATGAACTGAATCCTGGGCTTTGTAGGCAATTTTATTCTTCTCAACTTCTGACCTGGCTTTGGTCACTGTCTCCACTTTACAGGGAGGACTGGGTACCTCCTGCTTTTGACATTTCACTTCAGGGTTAATCCAGTGTGAAAAGAATGTCATCTTATTGTCCAAGTCAACTTCTGGATCTGCTAGAAGAGTAGAAGAGCACTTGTAAGTGTAGTCTTTCCCTGTACCAGACCCTCTCATTCTTGGCCCTAGAAAGGGTGGTCCTGAAAGTGCTGGCCCTGCCAGTTTTTGCCCTAGGAACCATAGCCTTGAAACATTTGACCTTCAAAAGTTTGGATTTGAAACATGTGGTCCCTTCAAAATACTGGACTCATTTGTCCCATCAAATGGTGGCCCAATAATTTGGCTCTGTAAGGCCTGGGCACCTTTGGTTGGGAATTTACAGGAATTGTTATTTGGGTGATACCATTCAGCTTTCTCTAATGGACATTCAGTTCACTCCTATCTAGTTTTGTTGTCCATAAGGAATTCTGGAGGCAAAAGTACTGGCAGGAAATAGCAATCAGAGAGAATAGGAGATAGTGGTTCTGCAGATTAGCCAGATCCTTGACAGTCTCTATTTGCTGAAGGCAGCTATGTTGACTAAACTAAAGTTCTGTTCTTCCAAATACATTGGAAGTCAGGGGTTCTCAGGTTCTCCCTAATGGCCCTTGAACCTGAACAGAGTGTTTCCGCTGGCTAGGGAAAGTACCAGTACTACACCGCTCTTTCGGTGATACTTGGGTCCATGATTCCCTGGGCGAGGGCCTAAGGATTTTATAGGGCTGTTCACTTTGGTTTCTATCTATACACAAAGTACTTGGGCCTCACTGAGTAATGAGATCTTGGAGGCCTAGTGGACAGAACTTTGGAACTAGGTTACCATCATCTCAGTTGTACTGTCTTTAGGTTGTTTGCAAGAGTTCTTTTAAGCAGCCATTCTGTACCTGGGAATGTGGGGTACTTGATTGAGTAGGGAGCTTCTGGAGCAGTGCTTTCCCCTTGGTTGTATCCTCCACATAAAGTCTCTTATGAAGAGTATTCTTTGGGATGGCAAAAAATGTGTTCCTTTCTGTCTTTATGAGACTTCTCAAAATGTATCTGTAAGGATTTCTTTTTTCAGATTGAAATTTAGCTTGGATAGTGATCGGGGGATGTCAGGCTCCATCTGGCTCTCTAGAAGTACCATCTCCACTCTCTGTACTTTACCCTTTCACACTGTCCATACAGGTCTCACTGGCACCTTGAATACACCTCAACTACTGGCATCTTGAATGGCCCAGAACTTAATACAGTGCTGGTCAGATAAGATGGAGTTATTCTGATAGGCCTATTCTGATGGGACCTGTGATTTAAGATTAGCTAGTAATTGCCAAAACCATGGGCTGGAAAGAGACATGAAATAGAGAAAAGGTAGCCCTGGAAGGAAGGAAAACTTAATCTCGTTTCTTTTTTTTTTTTTTTAATCTCCAGTTTCTTAATGGTTCCTTAAGACAAGGCACAGGCAGCTAGGGTCATCAGTAATAGCATCTGTGAAAACGCTCACTGCCGGCCAAGGCCTGTTGTATTCATGGAACTACTTCCTGATCTGTGTAGGGAGCTGATTTCTGCCTCCAGGCTTAGGAGCCTGCTTTCTAGAGGACTGGAGAACTGAGCTGCTATCAGGGTCCTTGGGGAGTACTATATACCAAGTGATTTGCAGCCCAGCAACTACAAATGGAGGCAGGGATGATAGCCTAACATTCTTCCCACATTTGCAATCTATATGGCTCTGCCACATTGTTTTGGCCTGAAAAAGCAACTGTAGCCTGGCCATGCTGCCAAAGTGTATCAGCATAGGTCACTGTCCTCACTGGCTTCTGAGGAATCAGATCAGATCAAGGATGTGCTATTCCTGGGCAGGGGCAACTGGGATAGACTGCTGCCACTTTGCAGGAAAGCCCCAGAAATGATCAATCAACCATTTCAACTATTTCTAGAAATAGAATTCTAGCAATCTTTGTGCATGCTCCAGGACAAGAGGACTCTGTCTTTTGGCACAGGCTGCAGAATGTGTCAGAACTTACATTGCATCTACAAAGATCTCTAGAAACTGGTAGGCCCCACAGGATATAGCAACTCAATAGCAAGTGCTATCCTCAGACTTCATACTTAGAAGTGAGACATTGATCTGAGCTTATTGATGGTTGGATGGAAAAGCCCAAGTTTGGGAATGTAGGAGAAGAAGCTGTGACACAGTGAAATGGAGGAAATTTTAGGCAGTACAGAGATGTAGGAGAAAACATTGAAGAGAAAAGGTCCAGGGCTCCCCTGTTGTGGAGCTATATCTAGAAGCAACCAGTAAAATACCAACTATAGAGCATTGCCCAGAGATGGCACACTGAGGTCATATATGGACTCCAGGAAATGGACACTTAAAAGCCAAAAAGTGGAGAAGGTAGAGCCAGAACCATGAAATAAGGTTTGGAATTTGCTCATGATATTTCTGGCTCTATAGTTAACGGGCTAACCATCCATGAGCCCTAGAGGGAAGGGAATGAAATCTCATCTTTTCAGCAAAGGCCAAAGACATGATTATTTTGTAGGCTTTGAAAATGTGGGGTTCAAGCTGCCATGGGAATTATCCTACAGATCATGGAAGTCCTCAATGTGGAAATGTATGCATTTTACCCTCCTACTTAAAAGCATCTTTTGGACATGGTAATTACAGGTGAGAGGATGGGAGGTTGTAGGAGGGTGTTTTAGGTGCAGGAATTCTGGGTCCAAAGTAGGAGAGGGAACCTAGCATTTAGAGTTGCTGACCTTGGTTCTTCTGGACAGATGTGGAGTTGTTCTTCTTTCTCTTATGCTGACTCTCAGGAATCCCAGGCTCCTCAAGACTTGAAGAAGATAGAACTCCTACATCCTGAGATACACTTGGTACTTGAAATCCCTGCACTCGCTGGAGATAATCAGGCCAGTGATATTGGACACTGATAGCACAACTTGCCTGGGCAGTAGTCTTAGTTAAAGATTTCTGATCCATTAATTGTGGCACTGTGTGGCTTGGTACAGGTGAATGTTCTCTGGTGGGCTGCGAACAAAGCTCCTGATTCTTCTTTAAAGACCTATTTGACATGGACCTTTCATGGATTTGTGATGTCCCTGATAAAGAAGGGAAGTTCTTGCTCTCACCAGACAGCAACTGCTGAATCTCCAGAGCCATGGCATTGCAGATTTGGCAGCCAGGATCTGCACATAGGACCCGCCGAACGCTTCCCTCCTGAGGAAGCCAGCCCTGGCTGGGAAGGGAAACATGGCAACTGTTAACAGTGGAGGGCATCTGCCTCATTGGAAGCCTGTGACTGAGATTGCTACGGTGACCCCACCCCCACCCCGAGCCCAACAAGTTCTAGAAGTACACCTCCTGAGTGCTTGAAGAGCTGGGCTAAGTATCCAGGATAAGGATGGGAAGGAGAAACAAAGAGGAGGCAAAAATGCTTGTACTCCTCTGTACGGTATTCTCACAATAAAAATAAAAAAATTAAAAACATCCTGAAGCCTAGGTGGGGAATGAAGTCCTCATTCCAAGAACTATGGTATGTCCTTGCTACTATATGTACCCATTGACAATCAGTCTCACTCTCTAGAAATCTTTTTTAATACATTTTTATTGTAAAAATACTGTATAGAAAGGTTATAGTTACATGAGCAAGGTAATGAGTACATTTCCTATCAAGCATCGTTGCCTCCTCCTTTGTTTTTCTCCTACCATCCCTTCCCTCCCACCTCCACAACTATACTCCCCACCCCCACCTAAATTGTAAAGTTCGTTTTTCAACATAGTGTCTTGTACATCTCATTATTACAGTGGGTCAACCTGTATCCCTAAGTCCCTATTTAAGCATTTTGTTTTTTCCCTTCCCCTCCCCAAATTAAAGAAGTGTATATACAAGATTGAGGGCACCGACATCCAATACAGTGAGAACAGGGGTTATACAGTGGGGGAGGAACATACAAAAAAAAAAAAAACACACATGGTACATTATAAATACGTTAGAAACAATAGCAAGGAAAGAAACCACTTGTGTCCCTATCTTGGTGTTCATTTCACTTAACATCATCTTATCTGGTCATATGTAGATAGCTTTTGACCTTTTCTGCTTGTCCCAGACATATACTAGTTATTGAAAATAAGGGAAACCACAGGACCTATGTTTCTTTGAACCTGACTTACTTCATTCAATATAATTTTTTCCAAGTCTTTCCATTTCCTAACAAATGAGGCAATGTCATTCTTTCTGATGGAGGCATAGAAATCCATTTTATATATATACTGCATTTTCTTGATCCATTCATCTACTGAGGGTCATCTGGGTTGGTCCCATATCTTAGCTATGATAAATAATGCTGTAATAAACATAGTTGTGCTAGTAGCTTTAGTATGGTCTTGTTTGTGATCATTTGAGTCCATTCTCTAGAAATCTTAAAGAGAGAAGATGATAGGCTTTAGACTATTCTTGGAAGTGAAGATAGACCAGAAGAGGTAAAGTCAGCAGGTTCTAGGCACACCTAGTAGTAGTCTGCCCTTGAAAGGGTGTAATTGTAAAGAGAATATGACAGTGTGACTACTTTTTTTTTTTTAATTTTTTTTTTTTGGGTCCGGTCGTGGGGCCTGAACTCTGGGCCTGGGTGCTGTCCCTCAGCTCTTCAAGCTCAAGGCTAGTGCTCTACCACTTGAGCCACAGTACCACTTCCAGCTTTTTTTTTCTGCTTATGTGCTGCTGAGGAATCGAACCCAGGGCCTCAAGCATGTAAGGCACGTGCTGTACCACTGAGCCACGTTCCTAGCCCACAGTGTGACTTCTTTATGCAAAATCCATTCTCTTGACTGGAAAACTTGTCTCATAGTTGTATGAACTCCAGTGATGTATTTTACAAATGATGTGCTGTCAGTCCTGAACTGCAGAGTTACTGTGACCCTAGCACAGAGTAGGCCAGACTGGGAGTTGGGAGATTGAAAAGAGCAAGAGATTACCTTTTCATGACAGAGAGCAGCTTCCGAAGCTTCTCTGCCTCTTCCTGGGATGTTATCTGAGCTGAAGAACCAGGACACAATGTTATGTAGAACAGGGAAGGATTCAGGGCATCCTATGGGAAGCTGAAGGCCTTTGAGAGGAGACTGGTAATCTATAATCACATCTGTAGTCTAAGTCACATCTGTAAACAACTGAACTATTCACAACTTGCTATCCCATAGATAATCTCACTTGATCTTTTATAACCACGTGATAAGGGCGGAGGATCTTTAGTGTTAAGGCCATAATGTAAAGAAGAAGACTGAGAAATGAAGGGACTTCCACAGGGTTGTAAAACTATCAAAGAACACAGTAACATCTCTACTTCCTCATTCTTCATTTTTGGGAAAGCAAGAAACATTTGGAATATTCCTAGACACTGATTCCCACCCAAGTGAGTCTCCATTTAGCAATTGTCATTGAGGCCTTCAATGGTTAGTAGCATCTGGATTCTGGAACTAGGTTTCACAGAGCGTTGGGCTCTATGGGGACCTCACCCAAGTAGAAGGGAGTCTAAGGAGAGGTAGTGACTTTACCTTTTGATGTTCTATCTCTAGATCTTTGTTTGACTTTTCGGTGACGCTTAAAGACAAAAACAGAATGTGAGGCTAGAATAGTGTTTTTCATATTTAAAATACAAACTCTATAAACATGTCCAATATTTCTGTTTTCCAATTTAGACAGTCCTATTTTCCTTTCATACCCTTTCTTTTTTACCTTCATTGTTTCCTTCTCTACTTATTTCTGGCTCACTTTAAGGTTCCTCCATATACTTTTAAAAATATGAATCATATACTCCTTTCCAGTTCAGCATTTATTTTTTAAAGTTATTATTATTATAATTATTATATTTTGTTTATGTGGTACTGAAGAATGGAGCCAAGGGCCTCATGTAAACTAGGCAAACACTCTACCACTAAGCCACATTCCCAGCTCCCTCTATAACTTTTTCTTTCATTCTCTGGACAAATTCTGTGGGGAGTTTGGGATGAGACAGGAGAAAATTGAACAAATGAAAGGATGGATGATACTATTAAGGAAATTATTTCAGTCATCAAAGGCCCTAAAATGGACACCAACTAGGCTCATGACCCAAATTAGGAGCTATCCTGGGACCCAAAGAGGAAATCCTCAAAAAAGTCAAGGAGTGCTGTGCATGGTGGCATATTCTTATAATCTACTCATGAAGTGGATCACAAGTTTGAGGCCAACCTAGACAAAGACCCTATTTTAATAACAAAATGGATGGGTGTGGTCATGGCTCTCAGCCGTGAGTTCAATCTCTAATATCATGAAAAACATACAAAAATAAATGAGATGAGTATACTGGGTTGTGTCTGTAATCCCAGCTACTGGGAGGTAAAGATCAGGAAGATCATGATTTGAGCTGGGCCCTGAGAGGCGAAGCAAAACCCTATCTGAAAAATAACCCCAAACAAAAAGGAGTCGAGATGTGTTTCAAATGGTAAAGTAATTGCCTAGTAAGTGTCAGGCCATAAATTCAAACCTTAGTACCAAAATAAATTTTAAAAATCAAGGGGCAAAACTATGAGAAAGAGAAGAGATAAATCTTGTTGAGGGCTTGTCCATTTAGGCCTGGTCATAGTACCTACCTGGCAACAGGTCTTATTATGCTCTGATCTTAGTTCTTGGCGGCTCTTTTTCACTTGCCAAATAATTAATGCAATAATGAAGATGGATCCATAGGTATATAAGGGAGATCCCACATCCCACAGAACAAAGGTAGGGCCCAACATGATCTAAATCTTAATAGCCATCCCTCGAGCTAGGCCTCCTGGGTGTTAGAACCTAATGTTTCCAGATTCTAGACTTTGTCATCTCTGCCTCACAGAAGTGACATCACAAAGCCCTTCCATTCCACAAAGTAAGAACAGAGTTATAGACCTTTGTCTGTCTTAAAGAAACTCACATGGTCATCCAGTGTTCAGAGGAGGGTGTCTGGTTATCTGTCTAGGTTGTATAGCTTAGAAAAAGAGATGTCACAGTCACAGACCACATACACCTTCATCCTCACTCTCTTCTCTCTGTACCATGCTCAACTCTCTAATTCAGTAGTCTGGCCCCTAATTCCAGATAAATGACTCTTTATGTCCACTGCAAGCACAAGAAAGAGACAGAGAGAGAGATTGAGAGAGCGAGAGTAAGAAAGAGAGGTGGGAGGGAGGGAGGGAGGAAGGGAGGGAGGGAGGAAGGGAGAGAGAAAGGCCAAGTCGAAGGAAAGGAATTCCATGAACTACATTATCTTTACTGGGAAGATAACTAAAAAGTACACAATAGACAGGTGCTGGTAGCTAACACCTGTAATCCTAGCTACTCAGGAGACTTAGATCTGAAGATCTCGGTTCAAAGCCAGCCTGGACAGAAAAGACTCATCTCTAATAAACCACTCAAGAAAAGCTGGAAGTGATGCTGCTGCTCAAGTGGAAGAACGCTAGCCTTGATCGAAAAAGCTCAGGGACAACACCCAGACTCTGAGTTTAAGTTCCATGACTGACAATAAAAAAAAAAAAGAAAGAAATCACACAGGCATCATATTGTCGAGTCTCAGGATCATATTTTTGATGTCATAGGCTATGATGAGTGGGCCAGAATTGAAGGTTCAGGAAGAGGATCAGGTAATATGACAAGAAAAGCACACAAAGCTACTGTACTTCTAAATATTTCTGGAAGTGGATCTGTGGTTCAAGTGATAGAGCACTCACTAGCCTTGAGCAAAAAAGCTCAGAACAGTACCGAGGCTCTGAGTCCAAATCTTGGGACAGCTCTCTCCCCAAAAAACATGCATAAAGTTAAGATTTGGGATGAGACAGGAAAAAATTGAATAAATTAAAGGATGGGTGATAGTATTAACCAAAGGATTTCAGTCTTCAAAGTTTGTATGACCTAGCTTGAGACAGTACTGATTTTAAACACTGCCTTCCATAGACAGGAATGAGGCTCATTTTGGTGCTATCCAAGGCTTTATTTTCCAGTGTTGCCTCTACTAATCTTATGGCATCGGGCTTGTTCATAGAGATGTTACTGCCAAGACTTTTGACTGAGAGTTGTCAAACTTGTGAATCTTTGGTTGAATCTAGCATGTTTTGACTATGAGTTGCTTTTGAAAATCTGAATTTGAACACCTTTAGCTGTGATATGATTCTCCCCCCCCCCTTCAACCACATTAGTTCCACCATCGGAACCAATGTGACACTTTGAGCACAAGTGTGAACATGTTAGCTTCATGGCCCCTGGTGATGTGAAGGCATGCCGCCTCCAACATTACCCAACACTTAGGATTCATGGTTTGAACAAGGGAGATAAAGCACATGGAAAGCCTTTGTGAATACTGGAGGCCTACCCAACTATAGGAAATTTGCTTAAGTCTCTAAAATTTGCTTGTAAGAAATTTTCCAAAGTCACTACTTCCATTATAATGCTGCAATGACACAATTATTGTAGTAGAATTTCTTCCTGACTATCAGTGTTACGGGTCACACAGCTTTCTAAGCAAAAAATCCCGATAGACATGCTAGTAATGTGAGTCTTGTCCCTCTGTATTAGCCTTAGGAATGAGTTTGATTGTGTGTCATAGTCAGAAAATACCAGTGAACACTTCAGATATACCAAGGTACTGGGACAGAGACCAATCACTAATTTTTTATGCAATAGCATCTTTATTCATTCCCACAGCCAGAATTTCTGGGCACTAGAGGGCAGCACATGCCCATTGAACAATTTTGTAAGTCTCGCTGCCTGGCAGTGACAGGAACTGCATATAGTTGTCTGTTCTAGTGGCTCTCCATACTGACCTCATATCAGGATCTCTCAGAGCTTGCAAAAAAATATTTCCTGGCATCGCCTCAGACCTAATAAATTAAAATCTCTAGAAGCAGAATCCAGCAACTTATATATTAAGTATTAAACTTAATCCTTAAGCTATAGGGTACTAGGTTATCCATGTACATTTGGGAATAACTGGTCTCTAAAACCCAACAAGTCTCTATTATTAGGCATTGATGAGACTCTAATGAGTCTCCCACTTAAAATTCGATTCACTTTCAGAGACATGTACTTCTCTTATGGAAATCTTAGTAAGCCCAAGGAACCTAGCTAAGAAATTTGATTTGATTTGATTTATGCCAGACCAAAGACTACATCTCACAAAAAGGGAATCTTCATAAAGACAGAATCCTTTATATTCTAAGAAGTTATAGTAAAATAGGGAAAAGAGGAGACATAAAGAAGGCAAATAAATATCTAATATGAGGATCATAATTGACAACTTAGTGAAATGGACTGTTGTGGTTTGAATATGTTCCCTCAAATTTTGTGTATTCAGAAAGTTAATCCTCAGGATACAGAGAGAGTTCTCTCTCTCTCTCTCACTTTCTCTCTCTCTCTCTCTCTCTCTCTCTCTCTCTCTCTCTCTCCTGTTTTTCTGTCCTATGTGGCCACAGCATTCAACCTCTTTTTGCCTTTTTTTTTCTTTTTTGCACTTTTTGACATATGAGGATACAGCAAGAAGACTTTTTTTTTTTTTATCAAATGCTGGTACTTTATTTTGGACTTCCTAGCCTCCAGAAATGAGAGAATAAACTTCTGGTTTTAAAAAAATTGACCTTATTATGTTGAAAATGAACTATACAACTTGTGGGTGGGGGTGGGAGGGAAAAACTGGGAATAAGTGAGGGAAGGAGTGATATTGTCCAAAAGGAAATGTACCGTTACAAGACGTATGAAACTGTAACCCTTCTGCACCTCACCTTTATAATAACAATTTAAAAATAACCTCTGCTAGATGCTTGTGGCTTACACCTATAATCCTAGCTACTCAGGAGGCTGAGACAGGAGACTCATGGTTCAAAGCCAGCCTGTGCAGTCCATGAGACTCTTACCTCCAATTAACCACCAACAAGCTAGAAGTGGAGCTGTGGTTTTAGTGGTTAAGCACTAGCCTTGAGTAGAAAAGCTCACAGACAGAGCCCAGGCCCTGAGTTCAAGCCCCATGACTGCCATACAAAAAAAATTAACTTCATCTGATATACTCTGCATAACAGTAAAAAAAAAAATGGACCAAGACACAGAAAACGCAAACTATTGAAATTTTCTCAAGCCAAATGTGATGGCTCAACCTGAATCCCAGCTACTTAGGAGACAAAGATGAGAAGATTGTGGTTCCAAGAACAGAGGAAGGGGAAGTTAGCATTACTCAACCTCAAAAGACAAGCTGGGTATGGTGGCTCATACCTATATCCAGTGAGGAGGGAGGTAAAGGTAGGAAGATTATGGTCGAGGCTGGCCTGGATCAAGAAGTATGACCCTATCAAAAATAACTAAAGCAAGCAGGCACTGGTGGCTCACACCTGTACTCCTAGCTACTTAGGAGGCTGAGAGCTGAAGATCACAATTGAAAGCCAGCCAGGCAGGAAAGTCTGTGACATTCTTATCTCCAGTCAAGCACACACACACAAAAAATAACCTGGAAGTGGATTTGTAGCTCACTTGGTAGAGTGTGGTAGAGTGCTAGCCTTGAGCACAAAAGCTCAGGGGCCCTGAGTTTGTGCCCCAGGCTATTACAAAAGAAAACACACACCAAAACTCTAAAATCAAAAGAGTGTAACTCCAGTGATAGAGCATCTGCCTCGCAAGTACAAGGCCCTAAGTTCAAACCCTAGGACACACACACACACACACACACACACACACACACACACACACACACACACACACACACACACACACACACACACACACACACACACCCCTAAATAAATGGCATTTGTATTTAACATCTTACTACAAAATGTTCTTGGCACAAGGAAAACTTTAGGCCTATGTTTCTTCACTAGTGAATTCTACCAAATATTTTATTATTGTGTTTATATCTCCAAAACTGTATATAAAAAGATTGAAAAGATGCAAAAAAGAGAGAGGGGGGGGAGATGCTGTGATCACGAAGGTGGTTTTCCAGGCGAGGCTGATCCATTGCACTCCGGATGTGCTGACCCTGCCATTCCCCAAATGTGGGAAACCCGGCCGCATAGTCTGTGGTAGTGGGGGACTGTGTTAGCATTCTCCCCTGGGGAAAAAATTTTTAAAGGAGGACTTTTTGTATCCTAACTAAACTATAACTACTAGGTAAAGACTTTGGGCTCTTGGTATATTTTCTCTCCATTGCCTTCCTCCTAAAGACAGTTTTGCTGTTCAGAGTTTTTTGGGGATTTTATTATCTTAACCAGCCCAAGCTAAAATGTAAAATTCTGTAACTCATATAATACCAAAGTAGGGGAAAACATGTTCAAGACCTTTTTTACAATTTCATCTGGCAAGAAAGTCTGCCTATCTCCAGCTATGTGTGGACAGACAGGTAATCTTTACTTGTTTTATTCTGTCTTGAGGAGAGTTCAGTCAATAAAACTAGATAAAAAGAAACCAGTAAATAGAAGATGAAAAGATGCAAAAGAAATTTACAAAGGGAGGACATTTCTGGATAATAGTTTTGCATATAAACAAGATTTTGCTCTAAAGCAGAGGATCACTCCAAATGAAACAGGTAGGAAACCCAGTGCTGTCTTGACAGATTTATGAGTCGCTACAAATTTCTTCTTAAGCCCTGATAAACACAAAAATGAACATCTATAATCTTACTTAGATGACTCACTCTCTTCTATTAGAGTATCTCCTTATTTTACCTCATAAGCTTTTCACTTAATAAACTTTCATTATGCTATAATTCTTGCTTGAAATCTCTCTC